GACAAGCAGAAGACGTATTTGTTCAAAAGATATAAATTTGATCTGCAAGAGCAAGACACAAATCTGAAAGAATTCTAACTTACAGACCCAAAAAATGTGGGAAAAGTCTTTTCAAATTTATTTCACGGCGCAGATTACTTAATAAGTCTTTTCGTTACAGTAATAACTGGATTTATTGTATAGCTCTGACACATTAATGATATTATTGTTATAAATAAAAGGAACGAGGAACTATTATATTTTTTCCTCGCTGTAGCATCGACTTTAGTCTGTTCGCGCGTTGTCGTGTGAAGCGAAATGTCAAGGGAGTACTTACAAGTCAAGCAAATTTGACCACGGGGATCAAAAGTTGCGTGTTGGTCTTCTGTTGTGTGCTTAGTCTCGAATAAACTGCAGAACAGCAAATAAGCAAACAGAGCTTGCGTGACGAGAATTTGCAAAACAGTAACGAACTTTACCGAGACCTCAACAAATGCCAATTTAGTTGGGAATGACCGTACAAAGTAAATATTTCCACTGTTTTTAGATCTGTTTATTTTCATTCTTTGTTTTTTGAACGCAGGATTAAATGCAGTTAACATAATTGAAATTGTATTATTTTTATGTATTATGTTTCACATTTTTCAGCTAATTATTAAAAATTCTGATATTAAAAAAAAATCCCATTCTTAACAAATTCTAAACAAATCTCAATTATGAAGGTATAAGCTATTTTCTGTGCCCCTTCCAGTTACCTTCGCGGTATAACTGGAAGCACACTCGACACGTATTTGGGAGATCCGAGTTCGAATCTCGGCAAGGGCAATGCATATTTTTCCCGTCGAAAGTATAAAAAACGTAATGACTCTACAGTGGCGTCCGAACAAAAAGGCGGTGGCTATTATTCGTTATCAGTAGTGATGGACAACTTCGGTACTTTCTTGTATCCGGTACGAGAGTAACGGGTACAGACAAGTACCCGGTACAAAATACCCGTTACTCAAGTAACCGTTACTTTGAAAAGTACCGAAAACCGATTTCAAGTACCGAAGTAACGGTTTGCTGTACCGGAGTACCCTAGTAACGGTTTGCTATACCGGAATACCCTAGTAACGATTTGGAGTACCAAAGTACCCTAGTAACGATTTGGAGTACCGAAGTGCCCTAGTAACGATTTGGAGTACCGAAATACGCAGCTAACGATTTTGCGCACTGAAGGAACTCTGCCACGTCACCACGTGTTTGATTTTATCTGTACGGAGTAAGATTTTTGAATATCAGAAAACATGTCACTACGGAATGTCTGAGGAGCAACCATTCATGGACACAAGGAGCGCATATCACCATTTCGCAAATACAACCAGATACTACGGTTTTCTCGTATCAAACCGAAGTGAGCTGGACCCTCATCGATCCTCCAGTAACGAATACCGAAATACCGAGAAGAGACGCATATTTTCGTTACAAAGTAGCGAATACCGAAAAGCACCAGTTTCGGTACAGAAGTAACGAATACCGAAAAGTACCCGTTTCGGTACAGAAGTAACGAATACCGAAAAGTGCCCGTTTCGGTACAGAAGTAACAAATACCGAAAAGTACCGATTTCGGTATTGAAGTAACGGGTACTTGGATGTACCGATTTTCAGTACCCGTTACAACTAAGTACCCGTTACAAAATACCCGGTTCGGTAGTACCGACTCATCACTAGTTATCATTTGGTGATTGGGTCCTCTCATCCCCAATCGCCCTTTAAAAGGCGGAGTACATAATGTATTTTCTCCCTTCCTTCCGCTTGCCTTCGTGGGGTAATTGGAAGCATATTCGACACCTATTCGAGAGGTCCAGGTTTCGAGTCCCGGCGACTGCACATTTTTAACTATATAATGCACTATATATAATGAAAGGAAGAGTCTGTCTGTCTGTGTGTATGTGTGTGTGTATCTTTCGTTCGGCTGCGCGTAAGCTAATAGACCCAGGGCTACGAAATTTGGTACATAGGATGCATCTAGACAAGCGCCAGTGCACCTCTAAGCGAGTTTTTCAAAATTCGAATGAGTTTTTTTATTTTTTATTTTTTATTATTTTTTTATTTTATGTTTTTTGATGAAATCGCATCAAATTGATAATTCTCTCTCATTCTATTGGCAACAATGACACGCAGCCATTATTGCTGATATATCACTGTTGCCTTTTGCCACTCGGAAAAATGAGGACGATAATTCTGCGCAGTTTTTAAATTTAATGTTTTTCTTGGATACTAGACGTTTGGAACGGGAAGTTGGTTAATTTATTTATTTGGATAATTAATATTTGTATTAAGGGATACGGTTTATTTCATTGTAAATTTTTTTACATGTATTACGTTTTTATTGAATTTTTTTTTATGTCCAAAGAGGCAATTTGCCCTGTTTTCGTTTTGGTATTTTGCGTTGGTTCACCATAAATGTTCGATTCACTTTTCAAATTGTTGCCACCCAATATTATCGCCCTGTATTATATTTAAAGAAATTAAATAATGAAGAATCTGCATAAATATATGTATGTTTCTTGCATTGTGATAAAACAACGGTACCTAGAGCCATCCAATTTTGAATGACGTACTTTTCCACCCGAATATGGGCATCTGGAAGCCCAAATTTGGAATTTGTTTTATGATCGATTTCATATTTTGTTAAACGTTAACGAATTTTTGATCAATGAACTCAACGATTTAAAATCCAGGAATGGGTTTTAACGATTTAAAATCCATTCTACCGCCGGGGGGGGGACATTTTTTATCTCCAACTCGCGAGACTGCGTATCGGAAATTCTAAAGATAGGCTCATTTTAAAATTATTTTGCGATATTGCTATTGAACTGAATTTTATGGTTTAAGCGATATTTAATAAATAAAGGTAACATACAAAACGTTAAATAAAGGGCCCTTTGTACGTAATTTAAAACCTGAAACCCTTCAGATTTTTACTTTTTATTTTGTTTTATTTATTTATTTATTTATTTATTTATTGATAAAGTTGTTCTGCAGAGTAAAATTTAATGTTTGGTGTTCCCTTTAGGCATTTAAAATGCAGATGAAGACTTGCCGCTTGTTTATTATAAAACTCAACTGCACTCAAAGAACAGCAGAAGCACAGGGTTACTCACTCTGTTATGCTAAAGGGATTTGACAATGAAGCAAAATGCTGTTCTCAGATGGGGCCACGTTCCATGTAAACGATTGTCTAAATCGAGCAGTTTTTGATCTCGGGTTTTCTGACAGGCCCCATGTGACACTTAAACACATTTTAAGTCTCCTAAAGTTAATGTCTGGAGCAAAGTTATATCAGTTTCAAGGTGTACAGACCTTTCGGTTATCTCAACTCGATCAGATAGATAGGAAAGTTGCTGAGTGTAAGACCTTTATCCAAAAAAGATCGAATACAAACTCACTGTGCGAATCATACGTGAATTGATTTCGAGGACCGTATATATTTAAGCAGAAATGAACCTATCCTTTAGCCCACAAGAATTGCATCTTAATCGTAGTATATTAGACTCTTCCCATCGAGTATTAAAAATGACGTTTACAATGAAAGGCTTAATAATCTCAACCACTTCAAGGACATGAACACGTAAATAGCTGCAAGCCTTGCACCAGATGTTTCAGCCAGAGTATGGACCAAAACTGAATATCGCTGTAATATCTGTTATCTTGTAATTGAGGCACATTTTGAAATTTATATATTTTATTGATGAATTTTTGTGCGACTGAATTAAATAAAAGCATTTTCAATCCTTTTCACTTATTACGTACTTCACAGATACTTCTGAAATGTTTCCATTCATTCTTAAAGATATTATATTAGAAAATGCTTTTTAATCGGAGTAAACAAAAATAAAAATATCGGATGTATAGATACAGCATGAATTCCTTCTACGGCTTATTAAATGACACACATTTTTTGCTGCATTTTATTTAAACTTATTTCCTTGAATTCCATTGCAGATATATTTCTCATTCAATCAATTCAATTCTCACTTCGCAGCAAGGGAAAAATACATACAAACTCGAAAATTCTTTAAAAATTATAAAATAAAGATAAACCTAAAACACCTAACTTTTAGTCCCGCTGGAAAAAACATACTGAGTTTGGTGCACCAACTGACTTAATTTACTATTCTAGTAAGAATTTCAAATGTAAACAAATGGCAGCTCGTTAGGCTTAGCAGTCACTTAAACTTTTTAAATTGTTGATAATTCTACATCACGATATTCCTTTACGTCGTACAAGGAAGTAAAAAGCGGAAAAAAGTTCTAATATCGTTGAGAAAAATTTAACTGCACAAAAACGTTACACAGTATCCTTTCTGAATAAATATTAGCTTTATATGGATAATATTTTACCATGAATGCTTTATGATTTAAATTGTTTGAAAGAATACTGTATTTTGTACCGAATATTGTAGACAAAAGTAAGCTTACTGTATTCGTTTCGTTTGTTTCGCATATTGTAATACATATTTTACTGAAGACAGAAGATAATATTTTACACTTAGAGACAAACAGCTGAGCAAATAACTGCTGTCAACCTCACGAAGGCCGTTACGGAGAGGAGGAATTAATTTGAAAATAATGGTTATTATTTAATCATATGTGATCTAATATTATGAATATCTATCTATTCGTATAATACTACACATAACAATATTAATATTTAGATTTTCATTATTGAATAGCATTATTGCTGATTAAAGCATGTACACAGAGTTAGAAATCTAATAAAATTTCTGTGACAACATTTACAGAAGATATTCTGAGTACACATTTTTCATTCCAAATGGATAGTGCTTTGAATAGTGATTGATGCGACGTCTGTATTCGCAGGTGCATTTTCTATATTTCTCCAATTTTTTTTTTTTTTTAACTCATTTACTACTACCAGATGTTTTTCGCCTTTCTTTACTTATCGCATGTTATATAATTCTGAAATAGTTGAGTTTATGCTTATATTTAATCTTGCTTTGTCTTGCACCATTTGTGCTTTGCCCGTTCTGGGGTTCTGTGCTACAGGTAAGTAAACAATCCATTCTAGAAATAAGTGAAACACCTGCCGGTAATTGAAATACCTGTTGTTGTTGTCTCTTTTTCTTTTTTTTAATGGTTGCTGTTATTACTACGGGTAGCTTCGCGATTGAGCTTTTATAAGTTGAATGAGATGAATGAAAGGGTGGGCTGGAGCTCTATCACGTGACTTTCTTTCCGAAAGTTGTCGAGTTCCTTGAACCTGTTATTAGCAGTACATCAAGATTAGCTTTGATTCACGTTGAAAAAGCACTTTAAAACTGAACTTTGATCTTTTATTTAATTTATATTTGCGACATTCCGATATTCAGTGGTCTTGGTTTAAAAAATGGGCTAGGTATATAAAAGACATTTTTATTTACCCCACGTATATGGTAACTACGAACTGGTTTTCCTTGGAAAATATTCCACAAAATTATTCTTCCTCGGCAGATAGTCATTTAAATTTAACCAACAAAACTGGATCCTAATAAGTAAAAATATAATAAACTGTATACCAAATAAGGTATACAGGAGCTTCAAGTTATAAAGAATTACAGTGGAACTTCAATTATCCGAATCAGTAGGGACTGGACACCATTCGGATAATCAAAAATTTGGATAATTGAATTTTTTCCCAAAGTAAGGGTCTACGTACATATTAATTATTTACGGTATTTACTTTATGTTGAAAATAGGAGAAAACTATTTTTTAAGAAAAAGAGGTTTTAATTAATTAAAATGAAAAGGCAGAACTTTTACATACATGTTATATAGCGTATTGTACAGTACGTATAAATGCTGAAGGTCATTGCTTGCTGACTATCTCGATTAAATTAAGATTAAACTTTCATAGCCAGTCGTTACTTGCTTTAAAGCAAAAGGTTTCTTAAACATTTTTCAGTCATTACCCCTTTTTATCCCTAAAATTTTGAGGGTTCCCATAGGTGTTGCGCAAATCCGATACACACGTGAGTGAAACTGTCAATTTTTTTACTTGTACTGTAATATACGATTGCAGTTTTAGGTCATTAACTTTAATTTCTAATTTTAAGACATAGAACAATGTGAAAATTTTAAATAAGTAACAGACGAAAATACAGTTCAAAGCAAGTAAAATGAACGTTTATATTATAAAAAGAATGCGTCGAAACGTTTTCGTGTTTTTCTTTGTCTGTATTGTATTATCTTTATTTGTTTTCAGATACATTGTGCAAAAATAATTGTAAAATTATTATAATAAGTTAAATAAATATCAAAACTGCTAAAATTTTTGGCGACCCCCTGCTGGAGATCCTGTGACCCCCTTGGGGGTCGCGACCCACAGTTTAAAAAAACCCTGCTTCTGAGCTAAGATCAAGGAATCGGACCCGAAATTGGGTTTCCCATAGAACGCTGCTGCAAAAGCCACTTGAAAACGACATCTTCTAAACTTTTGTTTGTTGCTGCCTTCATTGATTTTCTTGAAAAATTTCTATCTTCGTTTTCAAACGATGACACGAAGTTTAAACGTGTAGATTTGCACCTTTTTAATGTCTGAAATCGCTGATTGCCCAACACTACGTTTCCGTCTTAATTTTTTTCTTAATTCTGAAAGTGATTCGGATAATCGGAGTTCGGATAATTGGAGTGGTTTCGGTCTCAATTTTTTTCTTTAATTCTGAAAGAGATTCGGATAGTCGGAGTTCGGATAACTGGAGTGGTTTCCGTCTTAATTTTTTTCCTTAGTTCTGAAAGAAATTCGGATAATCAGCGATTCGGATAGTCGGAGTTCGGATAATTGGAGTTGTACTGTATTTAGTTTCATTAGCCAGTTATTTTATGTTAAATTGCTTTGCTGTCTTTCTCGCTTTCAGTTTTCCTGCCAGAATGCAAATTTCTAGTTCGCGTGTATTCAAATGAGGTAGAAAGTGATAGCATTTAAAAAGAAGGTTTTCAGATGGTGTAAAATCAACAGAGAAAGTTTAGATGTTTCCGCTTGAAGGCCAGGTTTGCTAACTGATTTTCTTACAGCAGTATTCTGTTGGCGTTGTGTTTTTCTCGCCATTAGGTCTGTCACGCCGATTTTTAGGTCAGACCAACTAGTGTGTTTTGTGCCTCTCGGCTAATTTAAGTTCACTTAATCATAACCCGCTACTTTTGATTCAAGACATAAAATGCTGGCTATTCTATAAGCACTTGCTTTCTGTTAAACTTCTAGTTGAGTTAAAGGGTCTTTAATACTTTTCATACATTTCTGTCGTAATTTTCAAAAAACATAGTGGTAAGTTACCTTTGTTCATAGAGTTCTCGTCTATGCTGCCAAAGAATACGATATTCTATTAAGTTATAAGATATTTCTCCCACCTTCTTGAAGTGCCTTCGTGTTGTATTGGTTCTGCATGCTGGGCCGGTATTCCAGAGGTCCGTGGTTCGATTCCCGGCGAAGGCGGTTGCTAATTTTTCATCTCTCCGGCTTTTCCAAAAAAATACCTAATGTCTCTACAGTGGCGTCCGAACTAAAAGGGTGGTGGATGATGATTTCTCCCCACCCAGGATCTCGCGATTGGGTACCCTTAAAACCCCAGTCGCCCTTTAAAGGCGGGAGTATATAAGGTATTTCTCCCACCTTCTCCACGTGCCTTCGTGGTGTAGTGGTTCTGCACGCTGGGCCGGTATTCCAGAGATCCGTGGTTCCAAAAAATACCTAATGTCTCTACAAAGTTAAATCCATTAAAATCAGCAGACTCAATTTTAAAAGGTTTTGAACTGTTTTAATTTCAAAAGGTTTTGAACTGTTTTAATTTCAAATATTATTTAAATTACATCTTTGTAGTGTTTTATCTGAAATCATAGGAAATTCATTAATTGATGCATTTCTTGGAGTCTTGTAGTTGAGCTCCTACGACCGGATAAATGCTTTGTAGAGATCATTAGGAATTTTGAAGCAGGAAATGTAAATAATCCACAAAGCCCCTCCCTGGATTCGACACGGATCTTCCAGTTGTTAGCTGAATTACACCACGACGGCACGGGAGTGGAATGCGATAACTCTTAACAGCATATATATACAAAACAAAATGTACAGTGAAACACAAAAGTATGGAAAAAGTATGGTTAGATTACATAACTGATTAAGAAAAAGCAGTTCGAGGGTTCATGATGGCAGCCTGTAAAATGGGCTGCCATCATGAAGGATTTTTTTTTAAAAAAATTGACTCCTATTTACTTTGCATATGTTGGGAAATAATGAAAAATCTCATGCAACTAACTTGTTCGCTTCGATTTGAATCTGTGTCAAATTATACGTATTTAATGATCTTCCATGTCGCTTTCGAGACATGGAAAACGCAATTTGAATTTCGTCAATCGGCCCAGTAGAACGGGAGATATAGATCTGTCCTGCCCCTTTTTTTATCGCAGTGTACATTTTTCTTGTTTCTCTTAAGTTGTTTTTTTAAATAACTGGAAGTCTTTTGTTAGTTTATATTGTTAAATTTTTAACATCCACTCATTTAGAATTATTAACTGAGTTAATATTTTATCTACAGAAGTGAAATCGGATATTATAAAAATTAAATCCACAGCTTGTTTGATGTTATTGGCTTCCTATATTTGTAGGAAGCCAATAACATCAAACAATTTGTATTAAAAGCCAATAACATCAAACAATTTATTTGAAGATTTGTTTTACTTTATAATATATTAAAAGAAGATAATACATTGTGATTAAAAATTATTTTTATTTGCAGTTACACCCACAATTTTGATCGGACATCGTATAAAATGGACCAGTTACAAGAGGATCTATTTTTCCGGTACTGAAATGAATCCCACATCGAGAAACTGATCGCCAACATGATCAGTTTTCTCACTCCACCTGCCTACTTCGTACAGGTAAGAAGCTATCCTTGAATAACGACCACGCGATGAGCTGATCAGAGCACTTTTCAATTAAGGATATTTAATATACAATACAAATTTGCGGTTTCGTATTAGCGATTGATTTTTCTTTTGTATGTTTGCTTTTAGCCCTTTCTGTTCTTGTTAACTTCGCATTTATATAAGAAATAAGACTGCCCATTTTCGAAATGGGAGTAAAATTAATATGCATATCGCATAGCTGGAAAGATTATTTGATTTTTATCGGAGTTTATTAAAAGTGGGAAAGGTCTTCTTGAAATGCATCGATGGCCTATCTTCAAGGATAAGTATTTATAATTAAAATAAGAAGAACTTATAGTATTTGCTTTATTAATTAATGATGAATGCCGCATCACATGAGTGTGAATAATTAATGATTTATAACTTAAGTTTCCAGTCTGTGAATTACGATAGTAATAGAAAGTAATAAATGCTTTATGAAGAGTAAGATTATGTTGTTAAGGGAAATGGACTGTTTTAATACACTTGCTTTTATGTTGTACTCTTTTAATCATTATTAAACTAAAATTGTGGTATTATTTTTGACAAGGCATACCTGAAATGGTCAAGAATTATCAAATTACTAGTTCACATCTGTTTTTGTGAAAAGCTTTATGTAATTTTTTTTTCCTATCAAAGTCTAGGAAATGAGCAGTATAGAAATAAATCTGAGGGGGCAGTATGAAAATAAATTTACGATTTTGATAGTTTTGTAGTTTCTTTCAAAGCTACTTCCCATTGCTATTTGCAGGTAACTTATCGAAAGATTTTATCTTTATTTAACATATGGAAATTATGTAAATACTATTGTGCATGCAGATAAGTATTCGCAATAATATTTACGCAAAACAAGTAAGCGAAAAAGTATTTGTGCATATTTGTTTAGTAAATATTATTTTTAATAGTAATTAATATCGAATTATGCGTAATGATATTTACTAGAGAAATACATAAGTATTTTTGTAGCTTCCTCGTAGTTCAATATTAATGTTTATCGCAGAAATTATATTTACAAATAATACCTTTCTTGCTCCTGATCTTATGTTGCATTCTTTAAAAAATCCTTAAAATTCCTTTTCTCATTTTAATGAAATTTTAGCGTAATGCAATAAATTGCTAATGCAATTTCTTTTCTCCTTTTCTGCGATCCCTGTAAGTTTCCTAATCTGCTAACCTAAAAGGATTTACGATGAGTTATTAACTTTCTTCTAAGATTGCTGATACCCGCCGACAAGAACAAGAATAAGATTTTCAAACCATCTTTAAAAAGCATCAGCCGTGCCTTTTAATGTAATATTAGTACGAAAATAGCCTATACATCTGTGTTATTTAAATGCTTTTGTTTTCGTGAGTTGAATCTGATGTTCCCTTAAAACATATGCTTCAGCGTTATCCGCATTATTCACTTTTTACATTTCTGGAGCCAGACCTGATTATGGTCCTCGATTGTGATTTCTCTACAAGAAAACTTTCTTCAAAATTTGGATACTATTATTTAAGGTATATCCAGATACATTAAAATGCTCAACTTCCAGGTTTTACTTGTCTGCCACTGTATGAGTCAACTACGGTTATGCTAATCAGGAGACACATTAAGATATGAGATATGTTGTAAAGGCTGTTGGTGGTATGCTGATAACGAATCACCTGAAGTCTTAAGGATATATTGATAGGGACAGAAACAGAGTTAAGGCTTCGCAGCTTCTCAAAAGTAATGGATGCTTATTATTTGCAACATAATTTCCCTTAAACTCCTTCCTGCAGTCAATGTTTTGACAATTCTTTGACTATGTCTGTCATAGAATCTAGTTGTATGTTAGAAATATTTTAGATGTACGCATGTTTTGTCATTTAGAATTCTATTAAATGAAATTATACTATTGCTTGCATTTGCAAACAGATAGATTTTTGTAAAGCATCCAACTTTAATTAAGTCATAAAGATACAATATAATAATGTCTCAATAATGTAAGTTGGACAGAACTGTTAGCACTTATACCCCTTATGGGTTATTGATTGTCTTCAGTGAATAACTTGTGTATGGTTCCCTAGTTATTTTTATTTTTGAAAAGTCTTCTAGATCGCTCATTTTATAAATTATTTTAAGAGGTAATCTGGAGGATATCTATAAATTCATGTAAACAACTTTGCATGGGAAGAATACATTTCATATTCTTTACGTTGTATGTAAAGACATCCTACAGAAAGTGTGATAACTCCCCGAACCCAGAATTGACAATTGCACACATTTTTGGTTGCCCCGCCATCCTTGCTGAATTGTTAAAAATTGTGGTCCTGTTTAAAAGACCGAACTTCTACGAAGATCCCAATCTTCGCCCATGACACTATTTGAATAGGCTTCATCGTAGAACACGACAACAGCAGCAACAAAGAAATCCAGGGAAAAGTCCGCAATTGTAGCTTTTTTTTTTCTGGACGGAGAATTTAGAAAGCAGCGGCCAGTGTTTGAATGCGTTAACTATGCAACCACTGTTATGATTCTAATTGAAATGAGCCCAATTATGCAAAAATTTCATACATAAAAATTATACTTCATCCTTTGAAATCCTATCTTTTTCGTACACCCGTCTGAAGCTGAAATAAAGCTGTATCTTAGTTGGAATTCCGGAATTGCTACCGGTTGTGGAGTGTGATTATGCATTCTGTCGTAAAAATAACAGTACAATGTTAAAATTCATGTGGTATAATCACGAGACACGTAACCCGTCTTTAGACAATTACTTCTTCTGGAAAGTATTCCGGAAAGTGAAAATATTTCTTGGAAAAACAGAAACATCACGCTGCTCCATTATTTAATGTGCCATTTTCCCATGAAGACACACTAGTCACACAATGAATACAAAAATCACGGCTTTGTGCATCTTCTTTTTGCCTGTTTCCGTTTTGTAGCTATTAATTTAATGGTAGAATAGCTTTTTTTCCTACCCTCGGTCACGTAATGCAGTTTAGTGGAGTTCTGGAACAGTGTGGCTTTCCGCTTCACTTGCGCCCGTTGCCAAGGAATGCCGCCCACAATATACTTATCTTGGTGACGCGGATCACGTAAATTTTACCTTGGAAAAAGTCATTTGGAAAATGGATAGCTCATACCCTTTGCGGCTAAATGTGTCCAAGGTTGTCACAGATACGGACACACAGTCCGGCACCATAGACCAGTAACTTGTCCTTTTACGACAATTTGTCTTGTTCCACTTCTATTTTTCAACTTAAATCACGTTACGATTTTATTTTAATACTTAAAATTATTTGCTGGTCAAGAGCCAGGGAAAAAAAAGAAAAGTGAACTTGTCTAGTCTCAGTTACGACTATCGTTGCGATTGTTTTAATGCTTAATATTATTTGCTGGTCAAGAGCCAAAAACAAATGAACTTGTCTAGTCTAAGTCTAGCGCGGTTTGAAGAGAAAGAAAGGTAGATAATTTATATACCATTAACAATGAGATTCAGAATAGTTTTGACCTTTGCCTTAATTAGTTGATGTAACGGTGTCGATTTTCTAGAGTGATGTTTCTACTTAACATGACATTGATGATTTTAAGTAGCAGCTTAAATCTATACTTTAGAATATTCCACTGGGTAAACATTTTTTTTAATGCTGAATAAATAAATTTTGTTAAATCAGTTTTTGGTTGCAAACTGTCGTTCAAAAAATTCAAAAATTGTTCCTGAGGTATATAATCACAATTCTTAACTAACAAATGGCAATTCTGCTTTCAACAAAATTTTAAATTTGCTTTATGAGCAAATAAAAGATGTTAACATTTAATTATACAGTAGATCTACTCACCTTGTTGGTTGTTAAAATCTTTTTTCTATAATTTTGAAGTCATGTCTAGACTGAAACGATTCAAAAAATGTCACCCTAGGAAATTACGAAGCGCTGTGAGAAACAGAATAATAATAATAATTTAAATGATGATAAATAATAAATAGATAAATAAGTAATAATAAGTAGATAAAATAATATTAATAAATAGATAAATAATTAATAATAAATATCACCCTAGAAAAATACGAAGTGCTGTGAGAAACAGAATAATAATAATAATAATTTAAATTAATAAATTAATAAAGTAACCTTTTTAAACTTTTTGCAACGGAACGTAGATGACTTTATAGTTTTTAAAAAATTGAGTGAAAAAGAACAAAATTTACTGAAATACATACGCACACATTTAATCATTGGGTAGTTTATTATTAATCTTACGTATCTTATTTTTATATTTTAATTCAACTGCAGTATATCTCTTTTCATTCAAAACTACAATTGCTAGCTTGTACTTTTCAAATCTTACGTGGATGATGCATTAAATAAGATTTAAGAAAACGTACGTTTTCATTTATATTTTACACAGTTACGGTTAGGGTGTTGGATGATGATTCTCCTCACCTAGGATTTGGCGATTGGGTCCCCTAAAACCCCAGTCGCACTTTAAAAAAGAGAGTATATAAGGTATTTCTCCCGCCTTCTTGGCATGCCTTCGTGGTGTGGTGGTCTGCACGCTGGGCGCGTATTCCAGAGGTCCGTGGTTCGATTCCCGGCGAAGGCGTTGCATATTTTTCATCTTGCCTGCTTCCAAAAAATACCTAATATCTCTACAAAGTAATTAATTAAAGTGTACCTAGATACTTCAGAAACAATCAAATTATTCGAAATTTTGATTATTGAATGGGGTCCAGTCCCAATTGATTCGGATAATTGGAGTTCTACTGTATATTTTTGAAAGTATAAATTATCGTCTGCTGATTGACACTTTTGGTTTCGTGCAAAATGACGCTTTTACAGAAGCAATGGATGAAACTCTATGTTTGTGTTCTTTCCGAAGAAAATTATTCGTATTTGGTTACTTAAAAATGCTGTGAAAGCTGTTTTTTCGCATACCTAAAGCTACGATAGGTAATATTGTCAACATGAAAGGGGGGGAAAGTTTCGAAATTTGGCTTCAAATAAAA